CTTATACTTTTACAAACCCTGATATTATTATTTTTTTAAACAATTAGGGAAACCCTAATGTTCATGTCATGACTTTTCAAGCCTCTAATTCACAGCATTTAAGTAAAATCAAGGAAAACCTATCAATTTACTTTAAGGCAACACTTCAGAGACTCGGAGTCCTTGTGTGACATCTTGAAAAAGAACCAGAAGAAATCAGTCCAGACAACAATTCTAAACTTCAGCAAGCCTTGTTTCTCCTTTGGTACAATTTCCAAATACTTAAAAGTCCCAACATTTCACTCTACAAGCAATAATGTGCAGATATCAAGAGATGAGAATGTCTAGTCATACCACCAACAAAGCAGATGTTTGGCTTTCCTAGAAATAAATGCTTTCTGTAAATTGTGCTTTAGGGTACAACGTCAACTATGAAGTATGGTGTTAACATGATCATTGTTTGGGCTGTTTTGCGTAAGTATGGACTAAAGCACTTCACAAGTGATGGCATAATGATAAAAGAAAATTTTGCCTCTTATGAACATGCCAATCAGATTCAACAAACGTTCTTAATGCAGTCCACCTGTGTGTAAGTAAGCACACGTTCCTGAGAAATGTAAATCTGCTTAATCACCGCCCCAATAATGACATATAAGGCTACATACAAGTGGGAAGGCTATGCATTCCCATGCCTTTGTTCATTAAAAGAAATATTCGAGGTTCTGCTGACTTAGAAATGAGCAGCAAAATTAAGGAGTTGCACTGTTGCGGAAGTAAAAACAAAATAACAAAATAAAAGTTATTTGATCAGAAAACATTCAATAAAGACTACTGGTGAGGCAAGATGTGCAACATATGATGTTAATATGAATTTACCATCAACCAGCATGACAACATTCTGCTAAATCTCCTTTAATAAATACACATATGTTTACTGTACATCTCCAGACCACGTCTGTCATTATCACACTCTCCATCTCTTGTACAATGAATTATAAAAATGAAACAGTTCAGACAGACACAATCCGGAATATTCTGCATTTAGTGTAATAACAAAGCTAAGGAGCTGCTATGAAGTGAAATGAATGCAAGATTTACTGTGTTGCTGAATCTTCCATCTATTTTCTGTCCCAGATTTTATTTCAATAGTAGCTTGATCCCACATAGAACTCACTGACTGTTCTTTTTTGATGAAGTGACATCAAATTAAACCAATGTCACCTGGGTGTGCCAGTTGTGAGTGTAGTGACCAATAGATCTGTCATCAGTCAATAAAAATTTAATTTGTAAGTGCAGAATTGGTTAGTATATAATGATGTAGCCTAATAAAATGGAAAATTGCTTCTAAGCAACAACAAATGTAGTAATTTTGTAAAAAACTAGGTTTACATAAAAGCTGACTGACTTTTGAAGGCTCATATGTCAAGTCTGAAGCAATCATTAAATTTGTTTGTACCTGAGGGATGATTACAAATAGGAGAAAATGGTGAATGCGACATTTTCTTCTAAATCACTCATAAGAACAATTTAAGTATTAATTTGTTTGTACGTAACCCTAAACGTGTTGGATGAGAACCATCATTTGAAGATACTGAATGCAACATCTCAAGATGTCAGTAAAAAGTTGAAATTCAAACATAAATTTTTAAAGGGCTAAAAACTAAAAACTACAAAAAAACTACGGAATCACTTACAAAGTTATTAAAGGACGATACCAGTGTTTTGATATGGTCATCAGAAAGTCCTCATCTCAGTCCCGTACATGGGTAGTGCTGAAAAGATGTGTGAGCAAGGCTGCCAACAAACATCTGTACCTGGTACATCAGTTCTGTCAGGAGGCATAGGCCAAAATTCCTGCAAACTGCTGTGATTTTGGAAGGAGATCAATAAAATACTGCCTATAAAACATACAAGCTAAACTCAGTTAAAAATAATAAGAAAAACAAAATGTCTTTCACTATTCTCGCCTTTAGCAAACAGAAGTTATTTTGGTTACATCTGATTTAATGTCATATTTACAGACATCTGCCTGTGTTTATAGTTCATGTAAATGTCTGGTTTTACCATTATGTGAAATTTTCAAAATTTAATACAAAAATGACTGTAGTTTGATAATTGTAGAAAATCTCTTGTCATTTATCATTGAAATATTATTTGTGATCCATTTTACTTTGTCTGAGAAAAATTAGCGCTACTAAAACCACAGATGTTTTGAAGCCGTTTGACTTCTGATATCAAAAACACTTCTTTTGGTTGGGTAAGAGCAGTACTTTTACGTGAAAACAAAAAAAGGGGAAAAGCTGTCACTTTCTCATGCCTCTTCCCTGACTGGTCTGGTGACCCAGTCAGGTCTGGAAACAAACGCCAGCTCCGGGATGATGACGCGTCATCCTGCGTGACAGACCCAAAATGTGGCCATGCCAACTGAAGGACAATGGTCCCGCTGCTCGGGGGCTGGCTCTGCCTTTGTCTGTCTCTGGTTAAGCAGACTTACAGATAATTCCACAGATAATTCTTGGGAGCAGCGGCTCAGTCTCACCCACCAGGAGATCTGATTCCCCCCCTCAGCCTGGAGCCATGGCCTGCAGAGAGCCTTTTCTCTTGATCCCCCAGGAGCACGGCCTCGGACACAGCAGTCGGAGCCAAGGCAACAGTCTCTCTGGGCTGAGCCCACCAGTCCTGGTTGCCAGGCGCTAAAATACACACCCAACACACTGAGGGTATGTGTCTAAATGGTTTAGGGTGGAAAAGGAGGAGGAGGAGAAAAGGGTAGAAGTCAGGCACTGGTTGGGATTATGAATGACAGCCAGGTTCAGCAACATTCCCCAGGTCAAGAAAGTTTTTTATTTTTTTATTTTTCTCATAAAGTCTCATTTATTGAGGTGTAGGCAATCTTGAAAACACAAAAGCATTTATTTGACAGTTCCTCATAGTGTTGTTTATGTTCTGTCTTACACCTGCTTCTCTCCAGTCTGTTTGCAGTCCGATGTGGGGGCTGTGCAGAGGCCATCTCCCCTGCAGAGCTTGTGATGCGAGTCGGGGCAGCCGCATTCCACCTGCACTGCTTCACCTGCAAAGTTTGTTCCCGCCGCCTGCAGACTGGAGATCGCTGCGTCCTCAGGGAGGGGCAGCTTCTATGTGCTAGAGAGGACTACCATCAGTGTCTGGACAGTCCAGTATCTCCAGATGCAGGTAGGCAGTCTGAAGGCTTTGATGCTGCTTCTCTTTCACTGACTGTTAATGATATATGGGCTCTTTATACTTGCTTAAAGGGATGAAACTGGTTTGCATATCACTTTAAAGAGGTATAAATTGCACATCTTAATTAGGTTTTATGTGATATTTGAGTGTATCTAAATAGGTCAATTATTTTACATTTAAGTGATACTGAATTTATCTTATTATGCATAAATTATGTGGATGAAAGATTCATTCTAGTTACTGATTTATTGATACAAATGTTATTTTACCTTAAGGATTGCTTATTCTAAGACAATTTGGAACACCTGTTTTTTTTAAATAAATAATAATAATAATTAAAAAAAACAATTTAATCTCAAAGGCACTCAATTTTGGCTACATTACATATAAGATGTATGATAAACTGACTTTCTCACCTCAGCCCTTCGGGAGGTATTAGTACGATTAGAGGGTATGTCGCCCCTCAGAATGGAAGAAAGAGGTGTAGCTAGTAGAGAGATCCAGGCATGCGAGCTAGAAGGAAGTACTTCTCCACACAACTGCAATAATAAAGTCCTGTGGCAATGTACTTTGAGACAAGCAAGCTTTAAAAGTCATGAAAACTATAAAACTCTGGAGTGAAACAGGCTTTTTTTTAGTGCAAGGGGAAATCAAAATAAAATCAAAATTTCGATTTTCTGTAGAAGTGTTCTAAAATATAGGTTAAGATAGGAATTATTCAAAGCACTGCCAGATTTTAGATGCAAATGCATGTTGAGTTGATATTTCATAAAAATGTTTTTATTTTATTGGGGGTATAAATTTGAATAAGGGGAAAAAAGAGTCCTTCCTACCTTCCTCAAAACACGAAAATATCAACTTATATAAATTACCAAACATCCGCCAGCTGGTATTTAGTGATATATTATAGTAGTAAGAAGGACTTGAATACTATAATGCCAATAAATATTGTTTCTTGATTATTGAGAAGTCTGTTAACAGTATACTTATTGTAAAAGAATGAAAGAAACAACGTTTTTGTCAAAGTTGATACCCTTTCCCATAGAATTATTTATCTTTTGAGTGATACAAGTCTCATTTTCATCACATAGATGTTTATAGGTAAATTTACTAGAATATTCCTGAATAAATGTATGTATTTATGCTTCATTTGCTGATTTTAACAAATCTGTTATGCGTGAAATGGCAAGTTTCAGTTGGCATTTTAGGGCATATTGCAATTTACTGCTACTGAATAAAAAGCATTTTATTCTAATTGAGACTTATTTACGGAAGAGGATTAGGGCCAGTGGAAAAAAAAAAAATATTTAACTGATTTTTAAATTTTATTTCAGATATAGTATGGGAAAAAAAGTCAGAATTCTGACTTTTTTCTCAGACTTTTTTCCCAGAATTCGGAGATTAAAGTCAGAATTCTGACAGCTACAACATTGGGCTTATTTTAGCCGAGCATCTCTTTCCACATGTTTGTTGTGAGCCCTTTATAGCTAGTGTTAAACAGCACATATTATTAAATTCTTTTAACAATTACTTTTTTTCTTTTGGAAGTTCTTCTCTAATGACCAAATTTCAGAATGCACCACGTTTGATTGTCATCTCAGCAGGTTATCCCATCTGAGCTGCAGATCTCTGCAGTTTCTCCATTTAATACTTTCCTCTCTCCGTCTGACATTTTATTTATAAGGACAGATAGATCAGTGCTCTTTGTTATATTTAAACATTATCTTGTTTTATAGCCCCTGTCGGTTTTGATTTCATTTTTTCCTTGAACCTCACAAACAACTGTCTATTTGGTTTGTATTTAGGATTAAATTATAAAAAAGTGGCTTACACACCGCTCCCTTTTCCATGATCTATTTGGTGATTTTGAAAGCAGATGGTTGCTTTGAATGTATTTTTTTAATATCATTGTACAGGTGATCAAAAGGATATTTGTGTCACTTATACCAAAGATTATGTTTGAAAAGTTTAAATGTATGCATGAATTTGAGGTGGTCATTGGAGCATGACAGAAACACATAAAAGTGAAAGTGGAATGGTAATTTTTCATGGCACTGCATAAAGCTGGCTGCAAACAATTGAGTGGAATTTATAATAAATTCTGAATGAAGATATAAAAGTGTGATCGAAATGTGATCTCCTGATTTGAACAGAACAACGCTTTAAATCCTCAAATGTCAATTTTTTTTTCCACTGGAATTTTGTTTAGACCAGTTTTCTGCTCCTTTGCTGAAAACTTGCTTTAAAATTCTCCTTTGAATTGTATGTATTATGTCTTAAAAATCAATTCTTGATCGCAAAAGTTTGAATTCGAAAGTTTAAATTTGAAAGAATTATCAGTTAAATCTGTAGTGAATGCTGGGGGCACATTAGGCTCCTTAAACCATTCTTGGACATCTAGAAATGTTAAACAATGGCAGTTAATGAGTCTAAATGCTACATAATTGTTTATGTCCCATTCTTGCAAATAGGATCTTAGCAATTCAAATCCATACATTGAATTGTTCGTTAAGATGTGTTTACTGGGACTAATCTATACATTATGTCACTATTGTGTCTGTCCAGGAGGTGAAAGTGATGATGTTGAAGAGGAAGTGTTGGAGCGAGTTGTACACACTATTTCGAAAAGGCGAGCTGGTGCAGATAATCCAGAAAGCAAACGTCCCAAAAGACCCCGAACCATTCTGACAACGCAGCAAAGACGCACCTTTAAGGCTTCCTTTGAAGTCTCATCGAAGCCTTGTCGGAAGGTAAAGAGCTGCATTGACTGTACCAAGTTATAGCTAATGAGCTGTAGATGACATTCTTCAAATGTTTTCTGCTTAATGATAAGAGCTGATATTTTAAATGAAGCCGGTGAATTTACATCTTAAAAAGCAAAGAGCATTTCAAATCTACTATTCTTACAATCTGTCTTTTGTGTTTGATTTAGCCTGGGGAGAGCCTCCAGATGTTTTAGGGGTATAGTGGAGGATGTTCTTTTTCCGGATGGAACATCAAAATAAGTAGTCATCCTAATTGTAAATTATTCTGCTGTTATGTTTATGTAAGGCTGTCCTACGTGCTCGTTCCCAGTTAGCTATCCTTTTCTACGCATGCACACTTTCAGTTGTATATCTGTGGTGTGCTACGGTTTCAGACAGTCATTAAAGGTCGCTTTTCTCACCACGGTGAGAAATTTCAATCATTCAATACACAGATGTATGCATGAAAGTGCGCATGTGCAAAAAAATATAGCTAACGCGACAAGCACATAGGATGACCTTACATAAACATTTCACAAAAATGATTGACAATTAGGAGGAGCGCTTATTTAGATGATCCACCCAGAATTAAAATATCGTGGATCAGTGGTGAGTCTGATGTAGTGGAAAAATAACAAATCTTCTTTTTGGAAAGTAAGCTTGTATGAGCAATGAGACCAGCAACTTTTAAACAGAGCCTTCACGAGGAGAAATGGGCTTGTGCATGCTCTCACACATGCATTTAATAGGCATTTCATCTCTAGAGCGGGTACAGGGTTGTGCATGTGGATTTTTTTTTAAAGTTGAGAGGGCGGGCATTTTAAAATATTTGGGAAAATCCTCCCCTATACCTTTAACCTTCAAAAGTCTGATTATCTTTCATCTTATTTTGTACTTTTCTAACCTTTTTTCTCCTTCCCACCTAAATCTTAATCCAAGGTAAGGGAGACCTTGGCAGCGGAGACAGGCCTCAGTGTCCGGGTTGTGCAGGTCTGGTTCCAGAACCAGAGGGCTAAAGTAAGTACCCCCACCCTCACGTACACACACTCACAACCACACATACATACACAGACTCACATGCACATTTAATAAAAGCAGTCTTTCTGCACTGGGTTTGTAAGCCAGAGTGGAAATCAGCCTGGTTATCTCTTTATACAGGAAGCTGATGACATTTTGCAGAGAGATCACCAGAGATTAGAACCATTATTTCCTCACAAAGTGAAATCATGTGTGGTTTCTCTCACTCAACTGTAACTGAGTGACTGTGGTCATGTGCCCAGGTGGCAGAGGACCTGAAAAAGAGCACAGTTTGTTATTATTATTGTTTCCTTCAATAAATGCGTTTGTTTAGATGAAGAAATTGGCTAGAAGACAGCAGCAGCTGGAACAGCAGAACACTCAGGAGCAGTGTGAACTCCCAACAGGTGAGTAAATGCCACATAGGAAGAATCTGAAGCAAAATTAGTTATAAAAAAAACTATAATCACGACATAAATAAATAATTCATCAGTAAACTTAATTATAGTATTTTAGTTGTGATCTCTGTTGGTGCTCTACAGTGCCCTCCTGTGGCAGTTTGGCCACAGAGCCGCAGCGCCTTGGGCCAGCCTTTGCCCATGTTCATATGGGGCTCACCTCTCTGGACCAGCAGGACTGGGACATGGACCCCTTCAGACAGGACCTGACCCCACCCCAGATGCCAGGGGATCATATGCACCCTTATGGTAAAAGATATCTGATAAAAGACTGTTTTACAGCACGACTAAAAATGTGAGCAATTAGGATAAAATTTTAATCATCCAATACATAAAGTTTCATATTTAATTCCAAATGTATTTTTTATTCATTTAATTTTGAGTGATCTGAAGCATTTTATATAAGAATTTACAAAAACAGAGTCTGTTTCAGTGTATTTATCCAACTTGGTGAAAGTGGTGAAAGCAGTCCAGCCTACTGCAGGTACCTGTTCACTGTTCCTCCTCTGTCCGTCGTCCCCTCACCACCATCACTAATCCTTTACAACTGATCGAGGCTCCGTCCTGGCAAAAATCCACTCCTGATTAACTCATTATATCACAAGACAGTTGATGTCAAACCCCGAAGGTGGATTTGATCCTTTACAGTGTTATCAGCTGTCTTAAACAGCCGCTTTAATAAGCTGTTATAAGCAGCAAGCTGAGATTGCACTCCTGCATTGTTACTGTAAGAAGATATTATACAAAACATTTTTTTTTTTTCATTTATTAGTATCAGATGCTAAAGTCCAGGGTGTTTCTGGAGCCACTTTTTACTGCGGTGCGTCTGGTAGCTAAAGGAAAGTTAAGTAGATTTCTCCTAAATGTTTACTAACAGTAAATCTGACATGATTTACTGTTAGGCGATGTTTGTGAAAGGCTATATTAAATGTTTTTAGGAAAAGCTATTCATAGTGAGATGTCAGAGAGATTGGTCGCAACTTCTAGTTTTAGGCTGCCATTCATGATTATGTTTGTTTTTGCTTAGAGAATCTGCAAAAAGTTGTGTTTGTAACCGGTCAAACATTGAGTGAATTTTTTTTTTTACATAAGTGTTCTGTCTATCTAGTTGAATAAATTCTTTGGGGAAGCAAGTGAAACATCCTAAGTGGAAGTCATATTATTGTCAATGTGGAGGCAAATCAAGCCCATGGAAATGCATTTTTGCTTGGAGTCGAGTTCTTAGACTCAGCTTTGATTTTATTATAAAGTCTAAAAGGTAACGCTTTCTTTTACAGTACATCAATAACCATACAATAATATGGTAATAACATAGCAAGTCATGCTATTTTACTTTGTGACAAAAAAAGCTTTATTTGTTAATTACCCAAAAATTAAATAATTACTGGCATGTAGTTATTATAATTGTATAATATTGCATATAATTGTGTTACTATGTAACAACGGAGACATTTGGTGGGTAATTACCATTATGTTACCCACGGTTTCTATTATTGGCCACCACCTACCACCAGATTACAAAGTAAATTTTTATTTATGATTAGGTAAATAAAGCATTATAAAACTGAACTCAAGTTACATATAAGAGTTTAGTTATGAAGTTTGGCTTGCTGTCTTCTAGGTTTGGTTTTCTGTTATATGCCAAGAAATAGACTGCATTTTACTACATAATAACACATCTGGTTTATTGCTGTAGATTAAATGACTATGAGTTACCTGGTAATACAAGTTTGAAATCTAAGAAGTCTGAGTTTACGTTTTCTGCCTAAAATTTGAAGCACAGTACTTACCAGAATTCTCCATAAAGTTCTTGTTGTTACCTAGTAATATAGTGTAACTTACTATGTTATTACAACCTTTTTACATGGTTACTGATGTACTGTAAAAGAAAGCGTTACCGTCTAAAAGACTCAACCAAATTTTAAAAAGACTGATCACCCTTTCAAAAGTGGACTTGATGTAATGGAAGACCAGAATTGTGTTATTAAGACAATAAATCAAGTATTGGACTAGTGTTTAATTTATTCCCCTCTTAGATTACAGAAACCATTCAATTCCAAAACTCTTTCACAATCAATGACAACAAGCATAACAACTATTGTCTTAGATGTTTATGTTAAGCTACTTCAAACTTCTTTTCATTTGTTAAAAAATTCACAAGTCTAAAGCTGAAAATTAGGCTACAAAGAAACAAAAAAGACCTTCAAGGTTTCATCATTAGCCACCCTAGCTCTTCATGCACATTAACAGATATGATACTTTACTCCTCACCTCTTTTTAAATCCTGGGGAGGTGGTGATCCGCTTCGGTAAAACATTTTCCTTACCCGAGAAAGTCTTAAAAAAGCTATTTTTGTACTGGAGAACAAACAGAATAGGTTTCTTGTAAGCAAAATATCAAATCTATAGTGTTTGTGTGTGCAGCACACTAATTAAGATTTGGATTTTCACAGGTCTTCGGAGCTTGTACGGAGACACGGACAGGGAACATCTATGTCATGTTACTGACGACTGTCTATCTTTGGCTGGATCTTCTCCTCTGACTCCTATTGACTGCCTCTACTCCATGCAAGACTCTTACTTTGCTTCCTGATATTTGAGTTAGGCTCAGAAAGAAGGGGCATGGCACCCTGGAGATGATCTGATCTGCCCAGGCTAGTTAAGCCAAGGAATGTAAATTGGAGAAATGGACATGGACACACTGTGATGTTATGTTATTTATCATATTCCCTTCTAGATGAGCATTGTCACATAACTGCCTTTGATGCATATCTGCTGTTCAGCACAACTAATTAGCATATAAACCATGCAAGCATGATGCTGCTTCCCTCAACTTTTACAATTATACGTTAATGTTCCTCCCTCTATTGATGTAAATACTTACCTGGAAGTGTATTTATTCTCCCAATGTGTGTCTATGCTGTTCATTCATAATAATAAATATGTCCAGAAAGGTTACATGCAGGTCATTGCCTATCAGTCCCATCTAAATAAAGGTTCAGCGGATCTTCTTCCACTGGGCATTGGGTGGACAGTGAAATGTAAAGCTTTCACTGCGGTATGGGTCAGCGGCAGGTAAGCGTCGCATCCATGCCGTCTTTATCAACGATCACATTGTGCTTGCATTCTTCTACCTCCTCCTTCTTCTAGTGGGTGAGGGTAGAGGGTGAGGTGGTGGGACCACCCAGGCGTTTTGCCCAACTGGAATGCTTCCAATCCTTTGGATGGGAGGCTGACAAACCCTCAGAATTGACGGGGCACCAGACAACAGAGAGGCTGGGAGCTGTGTCAGGAGAGAATGCCCAGCGTGACGTGAAGATATGAAGCCCCGCTGTACGGATTGCCGTCTTGCCCCTGCCGTGAACCCTCTCCTGGACTGATCTCACATTTCCCACTATGAAATCAGACCTCGCAGAGCAGAGAGCGCAAGCCATTGGTCAGGAACAATCTAAGTGTCTGTCAGCATGGTGATCTGCTGCCAAGCAGAGAGCTATAGAAGTGTGCTGCAGAGAATATCTTTGTGTGAGTCCTTTTGTATCTGCTCCAAGTATCTGCTGGCTTTTGCATGAAGCAAATGCAACACTGTTTACCACAAGATGACCTCATGAAGAGTTAACTGGAGTCTTCGGGTAAAAAGAATAAAACAGTCAAATGTCTTTTTGAGTCTTTGATATATACGGTGCATCATTCCTGCCAGGATGTGGATAATGTTTCTAAAAAAAAAAAAAAAAGGAAAGTAATGTTATCATACAGCACAGCAGGTAGCAATAACCTCATTATTATCATTATGGTAGCCAAACACTTTCCTGTCAGTGGTAGGTTATTAATTGTACCCCTCGTGCCAACTGCAGGCCACAAACCCTCTGTCTTTTAACTGGTATAATTGGCTTCATGCTGTTGTAGCAGCAAGACAGATGCACATGTTTTCCTAAGGATATCATGAAGTCTTTTACCAGAAAAAAAAATAATTTTTTAGTAGTAAATAATATTGTAAAGGCAAAAAAACAGAGGTTTTATGTAGATCATTGTGATCTAGATGTGACTGTGTTCCATTAATCTATAGAATACATTTATATTCTGTTTTGCACTTTCTGCCAATTAAGCTATTTTTCCCAATGTGTTAAATACCACTAAAGCTAGATCATATATGAATATTTAGGGTTTTATTGATTCGAAAGAGCAATTTAGGCCCAAACCTTCACTTCCCTGAAGAAAAAACATATACCGTAAAGTACATAATACTTCCACTCCTGCCCCTCACCGCTGCGATTTTCTCATACTAGCAAGCTTTCCTATTTTTCTTTTTAAATTTAGCAATCATCCCTACGGTTAAACACACTGAGGATAAACAAAAGGTTCTTACACCATTCACATGAACTTCTAGTTGCATTATCTTCTATATTACATGAATCATTACTGAAAGCCCTTTGTGAACATAAAATAAATTGTTAGCCAATTTAAAATGCCCTTGTTTTTTTTTATTACAAAGTACTTACAGTAAGTAAATGAGAGTGAAGTTGTATGCTGATAGTAAGTTAAACAAATGCTGTTTTACTAAGCTTACTGCTTTGCATCGAATAGAATCATAAAAGCACAACATTGTGTAATAAATCTGCATGCTCATGGCCCGAGAAGGTACATAGACATTTAGAAAATAAAAGCATGGCTATGGAACAAGAGTTATTATAATTTTATACAACAGGAAGCAGTGGGTTTGTTCATCTTCTCATCTTTAGCTGCACTGAAATCTCTGGTCCTTTTAATCCGGAACACATCAATAATTTGACTTCAATTATATTTAACAATTTAGTTTGAAAAAGACGTGGTTTAGTTTGATTAGTTATCTAGTCTCCTACTTGTATAAAATAATTGTAACAGCAGAGGGAGCTCCAAAACATGTGCATAAATGCAGCATTCCCCTTGAGCTTTTTGACCTTTTATCACCTTACAGCCTGTTGAAATGCATGTATTAGAAAACCCTATCACCAGAAGTACATAGTTGTTATCTGGAAGGAAAATATATATATTTTTATCTGGTTATTATATTCCTTTATCATAAATGTTTATCCTTAATAGGGAAAGAGAAGTGATCAGAATCGATACGAGGGAGAGATATATAGGTTACAGCAGGGGAGTCTGGGTGAAGACCTATATCTGTAAAAGGTTTGCAAATGGGTTGGAGACTGACTTTTCAGCAGAAGAATAACCCCAAATATATATGATTCAGATGTTTCTCTTGCACTGACTCGGTTGCTTCACCAACTGCTCCGTTGTTATGCAATAACATTATATTTATTGTTTCCTGCATGAATGGAAAAGTGAATGATGTGCAATTAAATGCTGTAGTACCTTTCTTATTTAATCCAATAACTTTCAGGCAGTTATATGTTGTTCTGTAAACGCACACCCAACTGGCCGTGTGGTAGGACAAAAAAAAGGAAAGGGTTAATCAAGCTCAAGCCATGGTCAAACGGTTAATTCGGCACACATATGTGTTACAACAATGCTTATTGAAAGTATAACAATTTATTTAAAAATAAAATATCAAAAATTATTTCACTAATTTAGCTTTTAGTCAAAATTATTTCAGTTAAAAACTTTTGATGGAACAAAGATTGGTTTTACTTGCTAGATTTTATGCTTGACAACCAAAGCTAATGACAAATTTTGAAAGAGGCCAAATGTACCTAAATGGAATGCAATAAATCGGCTAACAATGGAAATCCAAGGTAAATAAGACATTATTTGCAGGCCTCTGAAATTTTGATCTGAGCTTGGAGTGAGATTTTGAACACTGACAGCAAAATCACAGTATGAAATCATAAATAAACAGGCTAATTTGATACATTTTCTAACTTTTTTATCAATATTGTTTTATATGAAAATAAACAAATGCTGACCCTTAAATTGTCTCCCCTAAATACAGTCTGGTACTGGCAACACCAATACGATACTTTTTTCAAATACACCTAATGTGTTTGTTAAATGTACAAAAATAATGTAACTGCTCTATAATAATGGTTTTCAAACTCACTTCTTGGGACCCATTGTCCTGCATGGTGATTACCTGCCTTTTAGAACCAAACTTAAACCTGACATTCACCTGAGAGCATCAGTAACCGCAGCAGGAGCAAGAACTCTTTTAGGTTTAGATCAGATATGGCAGGAAAAAGTTACACCTGTAACACCTAAGGAAAACTTTCTAAAAACCGTGTAGCTCTTTAATACACATGAAAGATAAAAAAAAAAAAATATTAAAGTCCTAATCTTTCACAAAACAATATATAATCCAACAAAATAACCAACCATAGGAGCAAGCTGAGACCAGAAGATTAGCGATAAACTGCTGCACCCTAGATGCACCTAACTGTAAACTTTATCAGCAAACTCAGTAAGTTGATTACATATCTGCTGCTACATGCACAGTTTTTCCTCTGGTCTTTGTTTCACAGTTTTCAATTATGCTTATACTCTTCTGTTTTTAACATGCACACGGGTTTCATATGTAATTTCTAAATTTAGTTCACCATACTCAGTTGCAAATTATTGTTATTATTTACTTTTATTTTAAACAGGGGCAATGCTTTTTGACATGCTTTTTAATTAGTTAGGATTGGATCTAAAGTGATTCCCAAGTAGGTAAGTTTATTGACATTTATTTATTTATTTTCCATTTCAAATTAATATTTTTAGGTTTTGGAATTGCATCTCTGTTTGTATAAAACATTGCAACTGTCTTTTCTGAATTTAAAGGTATAGAGGTTGATCTTTTATTTCCGGGTGGATCATCTAAATAAGTGGTCCTCCTAATTGTGAATCATTGAGGTGATATGTCTACATAAGGCAGTCCAATTGTGCTAGCTATCTTTTTATGCGCATGCACACTGTCAGGCGTATATCTCCGGTGAGCTACGGTTTCAGACAGTCATTGAACCTCACTTTTCTCACCACAGTTCTTTGAAAATGGCCGAGGGTTGTAAGAGAAAAAATGTCTATGAAGTGTATAAGAAGAATAGAAAGGTCTCAGAAGAGGCAGATACTGTATATCCCAGAATGCTTTGCACTGAGCTTGCAAAGCATTATGGAATTTGCTGTCACAATGGCCTGCTACTAATGAAAAAGATGGCGCAGGAGCTACGTGATCAACGGAGCACAAAACAGTTATCCTCTGTCCGAACGGTCAGTAAATTGAGTTTGCTATAAAGTTAACTATATAGTCCCTGCTGTATGTGGAGACAGTAAGCTTTAATGAGCTATGAGAACAGCACATCTTAAACAGGGCATGCTCTGAAACGTGCATTTTTTTTTTAAGTGGAGAGTGCGGATGTTTTAAAAATCCTTCACAATACCTTTAATGCGAGACTGGAGCTTTGCAGCAAATCAGCAACCTTTTCAAATTCCTCCATTGACCTCTTAACAGCCACCTCATTTTGGGTAAACAACATACCCAAATGGAAAAGCAAATAATTTAGGAAATGTAAGCACAAACTACATGTGCAATACATTATTTGAAAGCTAACACACTCTACTTTCTGAATATATAAATTAAAATTGAGTGAGTAAAACAGAGACCAAGCTACATCAGTTCGAACATGATTCAAAGTAGATTTTTTTATTCTTGGAAATGATATGTCTTTCTTGAATAAGTCATTCTTGAGAAAAGGCAGGTTTCATTGTATTATGTTTGTTCTACATCATGTCAACCACAAATGCAGAAAATTTCAGACCTCTAGCTATAAAAAATTCAGAGCTGTGGGGTTTGAACCTCTTATAAACCGGTGGGTTATAAGAGGTTAATCTTATGGCCACTTTTGCAGCACTTTTGATATAAGTGAAGAAGGCAGTATCCTCTGCATACATTATAACATTTACATCACAAACTAAGGTGAAGTCTTTGATATAGATAGACTGAAAAACAAAAGCCCCAAAATGGGGCCATGAGGGACTCCTATGGTGCAGTGTCTTGGGGGGGACAAATAGGATAGAAATCAGGCTATTACACTTTGAAATTTTGTAATTTCATAATTTGTGTAAAAAGGTACAGTGATTGGCAATAGTTAAAGCCTTTTTAAGTCCAGAAAGACCACCAAATTTGAGCACTAAAATGTATCCATTGGGTAGCTGAGATCTTAGGATAGGCCCTGATCAACTGCTCCATTGACAAATCAAAAAGGGGGAAAAAATATCATAAATGCATTAATCTGACACAATGAGAGAAAATGGATGACAACTAATGCTTAACACTTGGTGGATATTTTTATTTATTTTGGTGGAGCAGAAACCTTTGTTGCATGAAAGTTTTTCAGCTAATACAGTTTATTTGTCTGTGCTTTGATGCAATTGCCAATAGAAGGTTTTGATATGCTGTATGTATAGCACATTAAAAGTTGGGAAAAGTTTGATGCTGAAATATATTCACAACATTTCATACTTAAGCAGTTTATGTCATGATTCTGCACATTTTGGTTCTGTTGAGGTTCTCTTTTTGGGTTTTCAGTTATACTTTGATCCATGTCTTTCTGGGTTTTCTAGTTTATTGGTTCCATTTACATATTGTGTTCTAGTTGTGAATGGTTTAATTTTTTTAATTGAATGTGTTTCTTGTTTTTCTTTTGTTGCCTGTGTCAGTCTCCTTCCCATAGCTCCCTTCTTGATTCCTCTGTCCACACCTGCTCCCAATTTGCTGATTAAACTGGTCTTTGTTCAGTCTCCCATTTATACATCTCCTGTTCAGTTACTGTTCCTGGTTTCTCGTCGTTTTTTGGCTTCTTATGTGAGTTTTCCCTGATGTCTCATGGATTTAGTTTTTCTGTATTTTGTTTGTAGATTTTTTCTTCAGTTGCCACCTTTTGTTATTAAATCTGCAAGAAACAACCTTACGTTTCAGTTTCTGCATTTGGGTCTAATTCAAACCTCCAACCAACCTGACAGTTTCTTGGTGGAGAACCGATACATGCGTAGGAAAAACATGCAAACTTGCATGCAAACATGCAAAAATAAGTTAGGGTGTTGTTTTACCGTTGCAGTAGCAATAGCCCTATTTGTGGAAAATTGAAAATGAAACCATGTTGCACAAAATACTGTGAAAGGTATTATCATTAAGCTGGAAAAACTGGAGCAAATAAGAAAAAGTTGATTAATATTTTAGTCAGTCTTTAGCTAAATGAGGATGATAACCTATTGCACTCAATGTCTAAGGATGGGTTCTGCAATTCTGCATTGTTTTTTTTATTGAACGTTAAATTGCTAAGAATGCTTTAGAAATATCCAAATGATTAAAAAAGATACGTTTTCCAAAATGAAAATTTAGACTTTAGCCTTAATCTAACTTAAGCAATGGCCTTAAACACAAGGTATGAAAGGTGTGAAGCGCTACAACCCAACATAAAATGGTAATGAAATACATAAAGTATAATAACAAATTCCAAAAGAATCAGAGAAACAACAAAAATTCATCACAAAAAAAAAAAATCTGTATTGTAAATGAATAAACATGGAATCCTTTTTTGCATGTTTATTTCTGATTATCTAATTTTAGTCCATGTTTGTGTGCTACAGCACAATTAATTATATTTGTCAGCATTTAAAGTCTCTGTCAGGGATTGGTGAGAGAGTAGTAGAGGTGTATAAATATAACATATATATATATATATATATATATATATATATAGCATGCTCATACTTCCTAAGCTCACTGCCTAAGTTCAGGTCCGCTACCAAAGGCCGTTGAGCTTGACAGTTCATCACAGTACTTTTGCTGTTTCTAGGACTGTGCTCTTCTTAACTGAGATGTCTGATGTGTGAAATGAGATGTTTCAGAGTTCTTTTATGTTCTTTTTTTCCTGATTTGTACATCATTTGGGATAGCCACATGGATGTGCTGCTTATTAATGGACTCACTATTGTTGTAGTTGGCCACTACCATTTTGTCTGTTTATATCCGGGCGTCCCACAGAACCTTATCTCTGTCATTCTCCATCGTCTTTGGAAGTGGCTCCTATTTTGACCTAGGCTCTCCAGTTCGTATTCTGCACAGATGTTTCTGTACACTATGCCACTTGGTTATGACATTCCATGTATTCCTTTCCTGCCACTATCTTATACGCCTCTGTGAGATGCTGTTTTTATTTCGGGGCCTCTTTGCAGAGCCAGCACTTGGGATCTTGCCTCTAGTGCTCAATACCAGCTCCTGTACTCCCACAATCAGTGCTTCTCTGCTGTCCTTTAGCCTGGCCCTCTCTAGCCATTGAAGATATATCTGTCCGTGATACATCCTATGCACGGGTTTTCCTTCCTGTTCCTCCTTTTTCATCTTCTGATGTCTAAGATAATCACTGAGTGCTTAATCCCTTGGCGCTGTCTTTCTGATGTATTCTTGGAGCTTCAATGTTTCATCTTCAATAGTGGCTCTGATGCTAACTTGGCCTCTGTCTCCTTCCTGGCATGTAGTGTATAGGCTGTGGATACTGGATTTGCTGTGGGATCCACCATGCATGGCGAGAGGCTTTTTTATTTTAACATCAGTGTCCTGAATTTCCTCCTTTGGCCAACTTATTACCCCAGCGGGGTATATGATTACTGATAAGGTGTAGTTGTTGATAGCCAGGACTTTGTTCTTGCCATTGAGCTGACTTCTCAGAACTCGCCCTACTCACTTCAGATATTTGGCTGTTGCTGCTTTTCTTATGACCTGTTCGTGGTTGGCACTTACCTGTGGTATGTAAATTCTACATCTGGGACGCTAATGCTGTACTGTATATCAGCTCAGTGGTTTCTGTAATGGTCACTGTAGCAAACTTAGTACTGTATTCACTAAGAGATCCTCTGGAGGCACCATGCCTAACTTCAAGAGCTGATGTCTTTGAATTTAGCCATGATCTTATTTCTTAGGTCAGCCATTCTGGAATTCGGTTGTCTTGCTTAATTAGGGCTTGGTACCCATTCTCACGGGGGTAGATGTTACGCAAGTACCCAATCTGACCTTGTATCTTGCCATGGCCTTTATGTGTTATATCTTCTGGTTCTCTAGTTGTGATGTGGCTGTTTAAGCTGTACTAAAACCTACTGTGGGCTTCAAAGCATCCCTGTTTACCACAGGTTTTTCATGTAGCCCTACCTAGGGTTACTGAATTAGTAGCATTCAAACAGTGCCTTATTGTCTTGTGTCCATGGCCTTCATGTTCCTGTAGACTATTTGTTGCCACTGTGCAATAGATACACAACAGTTGACACAATGTTTATGGTCCCATGAATTTTTCATTCAGTATAGTATTTCTTTCCAATTATATGTAATATACAAAGTATTTATTTACTCTATAATGTAAAATCATAATTTTATTAATTTTTTTATCTTTATTAATGCTCTCTAATCCCTTATTCTAAAAAAATAGTAGCACTGACTATACATGTTTGGAATTAGAATTTGTTATTTTATTTTTAACAATAATAGTCAGTTTAGTTAGTCCAAAAGAAAATGTTCCTTCATCAAAGATCTTTACTTTCACAGGAGCCTGTGGAGATCTGACTAGTCAAATACATGTTTCAGTTTTAACCAATAGAATTGTGTGTTGCTTGACGCCTAACCTATCAGATTGAAGTATGCACTTGTATGGCAAATGAATATAAACTGAGTTGCCTACTTCCATTCATTGCTTTTCTCTTTCACCAGACTCTTAGCTGTCTGTGGAGAAAACATTGTACCTTCTCATCCTCCAGCGAAACCCTCAACTTCAGGAAACATGGTGAGTATGAATAATAAGGCATCACTGTTCAGCTGCAATGGTAATATTCTGGGAATTTTATCTAAAAAAAAAGGGCACATTAACAGATCAATGTTGAGTCATTTATGTGTTTATGCATTTTTCAAGTTCAACATTCCTTTCCTCTTAGCACAAAATATTAGGAGTTCTATGAAAACTGAAACTTTGTGTGGTTTTTACGAAACTTGCTTAATAAGCCTTATGGCCCTCTCATTTCAACAGAGAAACTGCTTATCTTTAATCAGCCATACTTGTGTTCTGTCCAGCTACTGAAATTTATTTACATGGAATTCTGCGCAGACAAGGGGTTCTATTATCTGACTTTTTAACTGGAAACTTATTTGTGTTTTAATTTCCAAGCTTCTACTTTGACTAGTCAAATGACTTTAGTCATCAGATGCTGTTATCTGTTAACAAAAGCACCCTTATCCCTTGCTCTGGTAGGTAAAGAGCAGCTAAGCCATGTGATTTATGGGCCTTAGATTTATTTTGAGGAATAACTTAGAACTGGCCAGACTTGGCTTTTTTATTTCAAGGTTTTCTTGATTATAACAACAGGTCATTAATACTGTTACTTTTTCTTTCCCTTTGCATCAACAGCGTGAGTGCATCTCTGTACACATAGGACAAGCCGGTGCCCAGATTGGTAATGCCTGCTGGGAACTCTACTGTCTGGAACATGGGATACAGCCGGATGGACAGATGCCCAGTGACAAGACCATTGGAGGAGGAGATTATTCTTTCAACACATTTTTCAGTGAGACTGGAGCTGGAAAGCATGTCCCCAGGGCTGTTTTTGTAGACCTCGAGCCCACTGTCATTGGTAAGAATGATCACTGAATATGTTAGGGTATAAAAAGTACCAGTATTCTAAAACCTGATTGTCCTAACTTTAGATGAAGTGCGCACTGGAAACTACCGTCAGCTGTTTCACCCTGAGCAGCTAATCACTGGTAAGGAGGATGCTGCCAACAACTATGCCCGTGGACACTACACCATTGGAAAAGAGATTATCGACCTTGTTATGGACAGGATCCGCAGACTGGTGACCATTACTGCAATCACATTTGTACATATTCTAAAAGATTTAACTACATTTTACATGTGTTTTCCTTTGTTCCCCAGTCTGACCAGTGTACAGGCCTTCAGGGCTTCCTGGTTTTCCATAGCTTTGGTGGAGGAACTGGCTCTGGATTTACTTCCCTGCTTATGGAACGTCTCTCTATGGACTATGGCAAGAAGTCCAAATTAGAGTTTTCTATCTACCCAGCCCCTCAGGTGTCAACTGCTGTGGTGGAGCCGTACAACTCTGTCTTGACCACCCACACCACCTTGGAGCACTCTGACTGTGCCTTTATGGTGGACAATGAGGCAATCTATGATATCTGCCGCAGAAACCTTGACATCGGGCGCCCCACTTACACCAATCTGAATAGGCTTATTAGCCAGGTTGTGTCCTCCATTACAGCCTCTCTTCGTTTTGAAGGATCCCTGAATGTAGATCTGACAGAGTTTCAGACCAACTTGGTGCCGTATCCTCGCATCCACTTCCCTCTGGCCACATATGCCCCAGTGATATCTGCCGAGAAGGCATATCACGAGCAGCTCACTGTGGCTGAGATCTCAAACTCTTGCTTTGAGCCTGCCAACCAGATGGTGAAATGTGACCCCCGCCTTGGCAAGTACATGGCTTGCTGTCTTCTGTACCGCGGTGACGTTGTGCCCAAAGATGTAAATGCGGCCATTGCCTCAATTAAAACCAAGCGATCTATCCAGTTTGTTGACTGGTGTCCAACTGGTTTCAAGGTGGGTATCAACTACCAGCCACCAACTGAGGTTCCTGGGGGAGATCTGGCCAAGATGCAGAGGGCTGTGTGCATGCTGAGCAACACCACGGCTATAGCAGAGGCCTGGGCTCGACTTGACCACAAGTTTGACCTGATGTACACCAAGCGGGCCTTTGTTCACTAGTATGTGGGAGAAGGGATGGAAGAGGGTGAATTTTCTGAAGCCAGGGAGGATATGGCTGCTCTGGAGAGGGATTATGAGGAGGTTGGAGCTGATAGCTTTGAAGAGGAAGATGAAGGGGAAGAATATTAAACAGACATGCAGACTTTGCTAAATGTTTTGGCCTTTATTGCACAACTCTACTTTACTTGAATAAGTTATTAAATAAAGACCACCATTTGTCATAACAAAGGCAAAATAAAATCTAATATTACTTTAATTTAACCAAGACATTTGTTGTCCATTTAAGAAAAGGACAATTTCTAGAAGAAGAGTCTGACTTTTTTTCATTTAACTTTTTTCTTTTAGTTATTTTGTTGTTTGTCAAAAAAGAAGGAAATTGTTGATGAAACCTGAAACCTTCAAATGTTTTAAAAAGTAGCCAGTAGTTGTTTGACCTCTTTAAGATTATCAGCATGATATTACATTTACCTATTTGTTTTAGTGATTTAAATAAAGGAATCTGTGAAAAAATGGGAAATGTAAACATTTTAAAAGTTTGAAATAAAAAGTTCCCAAAAGACCCTCCTGTATTCATCCTTAATTTAGTCTACATATAAGCCATTTTAATACTTTGAACTTTGAATAATCAATAGATAATGATTTACTATTATAATATTAATACATTATTATTGGTATGTCTTCTTTGTTTTGTTTTGGATGATTTTGTTTCATGATAACTCTCTGAGGTTGAGGAATTTGTCTTGCCAACCCTTAATCTTAAGCTCCTCCCACTGAATCTCCTTCAAATGCAAAACAACACACTGGCTGGGTCATCCAAAAACATTGCAATCACCTCAAGTCAGAAAAACATTTTGATAACAATGAAATATGGTTGAGAATCTAATAAAACTGTTTGAATTAATTGATTAAATCATGTGTGGTGTCTCAATATTTCAGGACAATGATTTCAAGAAAATTAAATGGCAGGACCGATATGATATGTATGGAAGTTTTGATTTGAGGACCAAAGAAAAAGCAATGGGATCAAATACCGTCTAGACCTTCTGCTGCATATCTTTCCCCACTAGCATGATGTAGCATTTTTAGACCATTTATTTTATATATATATATCTATATATATGTAATAAATAAGAATGGCTTGATTTTAAATTTTATTACTTCTCTCTAGCTACTCTATTTCCTCTTAAAAAGGAATCCTTTGGCATATACCTAATGATATAAAACATTTATTAATTTTTTAACAAATATAGTGCTATTTTGTACAAGATATTAAACGATTATGCACATAAACTGAAACCTTTATTCATACAGAGCGCTTGACACTGAACACACACAATGAGTACATGGGTGGCATACTAATATATTTTCCTAGGATGTAAGTGAATTTCTGCTGGTTGTTTCTCCATTTGCATCATCGGAAGGACCTGTTCATCTTCAGGCTGCCTAGAGATAACAGGTACACAGTGTTTTTTAGGTTGTTTGAATACCAAGCAGAGTAATTGGTAGAGATGTTTTAAACAAGTTTATTACTTCAACACTGATCTTTCTTGAGCAAGTTTCTTCCCTGTGAGAAAAAGAAAACAGGCACAGACATAAGTTATACAACAAGTTTTCACAAGACCTGTTATTTTAGAAAAAAATGAAAGGAGAAACACTAACTTCTTCTGTAGTTCATGCAGCAGAAACAGATGCAAACGAGTGAAGAGAGGGCCCCACACCCTGCTACAGCCAGAAGAGCCTTTTTATAGCCTGGAGGAAAAGTATTTTAGATTTTTTTGCCTTCAAGTATAAAATCATTTTTTTTTCTAATACTAATTTCTAATACTGCAAAATATTTGAACTGCAAACAATTACTTTCACAAATGGGTCTTGGTCCGGTCCAGTCTCCATTAGCTGCACAGGTCACAGTCGATGAGCCAATCATGAAGAAACCCAGATGGCATTTAAAGTGGCAGGTTGAGTTAAATATCTGGCTTTCTGTGGAGCAGCTATGGCTGCCATTAGCCGGCTGAGAGAGGGGGGGACACTTTACAGCTGAGGGTGCAAAAAAAAATAGAAAATTCAGCACAGATGCAGTTATGTTATATCTCTTATAATGATGTTTTGCATTGAAAATATCTGCTTAAAAACATAAAATAAAAATGTGCAAACAAAGAGTTTTTGTTGATGCAATCCCTGTAGGGAGAAATAGCAGAAATAGGCCTTTATTGTTATTTTAAGCATTGATAATAATGCTGCATTAGTCTAAAACTGCACATTCACCCGAGCAAACAGGTTGAGGATCACTCCAGATCCTGTTGGTCTCGCAGGTCACATCAGATGAGCCATTTATGATGAATCCCGGATGGCATTTAAAGTG